TGAGGACAGAAGGGCGAGCTGGGGTTCAGTCCCCCAGGAAGCAAGCTCCCCAAGGCCCCCGGCAGTGGGGCGATGGAGCCAAAAGGGGGGGCCGGGGGGCCCCCGCACGCCCACAGTAGCAGCAAGGTGCCTGCCGGTGGCCTGGGCCCTCAGCCTGCACCCACCCAGGAGCTGAGCCTCCAGGTCTTGGACTTACAGAGCGTCAAGAATGGCATGCCGGGGGTGGGCATGGTTGCCCGCCATGCCACAGCCGCCAAGGGCGTCCCTGCCGCTGTGTCCGGCGCTGGGAAGGGTGCTGGGCCTGGCCCCGCTGGGGCCCACGGAGCCACAGCAGCTCCGACTCGGACCCGGACTCGGCCTCGCCGCCCGGTGCCAAGCAGAGCCTGTCGGTGTCAGTGCAGACCAGCCAGGACTGGAAGCCCCCCCGCAGCCTCATCGAGCACGTCTTTGTCACCGACGTCACCGCCAACCTCATCACAGTCACCGTGAAGGAGTCCCCCACCAGCGTGGGCTTCTTCAGCCTGCGGCACTACTGACGCCGTGGCCACCGCCGCCTCCCCCGCCCCGGCCTCTGGTTTGGCTCCAGTAAGTGACCCACACCCCAGGCCACTCCAGGGCAGGCAGGAGGCCTCCCGGGCCCACCCGGGCCCGGGGCGTCCGGCCGGGTCGTACCTCGATGCCTTGCTGGGGCCTGGCCACCCCGTTCCTACCTCGGCCTTCGCTTCCCTGTGGCCTCAGGAAGTCTGGGCACCCCCTGCAGCTCGAGCCAAATCTCGGAACTGCCCTCCTGGCTGTGGTGACGGCTCCCGGTTCCCAGGGGCACAGTGTCCCAGGAGGAAACTTCTGGGCCAGCGTGGCTGTTCTGCCCGGTGGCACGTGGCTATTGGAGTTGGGGCAGGGGGCGGGGGGAGCAGGCCTGGAGGACCACACCAGCGTAGGTGGACAAGATGTGGGGAGCAGGGGCCTTGCTGTCAGAAACCCCCCCCCCCCCCCAGCTGTGCCTGAGCTGTCAGAGGTGAGGGGACTTCATCTCCCTGACAGCTGAGGGCTGTGCGCGGTGCGGGAGGCAGGAACCCTAGAGAGGTTGCTCTGGTGCCGTCTAACCTGGGGCCGCTACACTGGCAAGTCCCTGAGCTGCTGCACCTGGAGAGCCAGCCTCTGGGTTTAGGGGGCAGGAGGAGAGGGTGTTGCTCCTGCTGCCTGCCTTCTGCCACCTGTGCCAGGGCCGCGCAGTCCTCATCTCAGCCCCACAGACTGCCCGGGCCTGCTGGCTGTGCGGGGGCCCGCCACCCCTGACAATCCCCCCACCTCTGGGGGCTCCGTGTCCTTCCCAGCGGAGAAGCTGCCTGCCTGCCTGTGCGTTGGGGAGGCGAGGCAGAATCAGAGGGGCCCACCAGGTGGAGGCCCCGGGAGCTGTCCTGGGCGCGGGAGAGGTGGGCCAACTGGGGCGTCACCGGGTCTGTAATGCCAAAAAGGGGGGCTTCGGGGGACTCTGGTGTTTTTTCCAATGATTGGTTAAGTCAGCCAGAGGTGTGGGGCCCTGACTGCAGGAGATCCGGGCTGACACAGGCTGTTCCCCGGGGCGGGCCTGCTACCCCTCCACCCCCTTCCCCACTCCCAGCCCCACCCTCCGTGCCAAATAGGACACGGGCTTTGTAGCCAAATCTGTTTGAACTGTGTGCCTTTGGGGACAGCCTGTGTCCAGGGCCCCACTGTGGGGTCTCCACAGGAGCTGGGGCTCAAACACGGCAGCCCCGCCGGCTGCTGCAGGAACGGTGCCCACCTTGGCAGCCGGGGGCGAGGAGTCCCCGACCACCAGGCTGAAACTGGAAAGTGGGCCGTAAAGGGAGAGTGGCCCCCTGCGCGCTCAGGCGGGGGAGGTAGGGATCCCAGCATATA